ACTGCTGGGCTTCTAATTTTTCACATGCCATGTCCAAGGCTGATGGTTCTGGTCTAGCATAGTCATGACACTAAAGCAGAAATCTGATGTCCATCTGTTCCTCCTCAATTTCCTCCGGCCATTGCGTTCTCTCCCACACGCTTGGTCTACTTGCAAGCAGAGAGTAGTCATTCTAGGCAAACAACACTGGAACGGCTGCTTCTTTCAAACGCCGTCGTCCACCTTGAATTACATCTGTGGAGACGAAGTGTCTACTACATACTGTTGTCGTCCTCTTAATTACAAGATTATCACGTTGTACATTACGGATCCATATTTTTCTTAAGGTTTCATCCTTAGGGAAATGGTGAAAGCTTATAGCTGAATTGAACTTCCCTAACATCGCGCATTGAGGTACGCAGCAGAAATCACTGTTTGGATGATCCCGCTTCTGGTATTTGTATCTTGAAAAATACATTTTTGTTTTTTTTTAATCTACGAACTAATCAAATAAAACGAGCTCAAAGAACGTGTTTTGCATTACTACTGTTGTGTCACCCACGTTCTGCGGAAAAGCGGAAGTGCTTTTCCGCTACTCAGGGCGGATCTCATCCACTCCCGGTGCCTTTCCACCGAGAAGCTTCTTGACTACCTCAGTGACTTCAGCTTGGGTAAACTCCAGCACCACTCCAGTCAAAGTTCATATTTGTTAAAATGTTGCCTGAGAAAAGAAGAGGGTATAGTAGGAGCTTGTTCAACACAACCCGGTACTCTTTTTCTATGTGTGTTCTCTGTGCTCACAGATTTGCCAGTAATGTTTAAGCAGACTTCTTCTCTGTCCAGATAATATCCTCTTGCATGAGTTTTTTTTTTTTCTTATTTGTTTATTGGTACTTCTTTTCTTTCTTTTTATTCTTTCTTTGTTGTTGTGTTGTTATTATTATTACTATTATCATTATCATTATTTTAAAGCACATTTCTGGCATGAAAGCACACATCTTGTTCCAGACCCTTGGCTGGGCATGTCAGATTCCGGCTGGACAAACCACAATACATTTGTGAACTATGATGATGTTACCATCGTATAAGTAGGACTCGCAAATCATTGTTGTGCAAATGGCCTCGAGTACATTATACGTACTAGGAGATCATTGTGCCTCAGTACTGGCATGGGATGCAAAACGCAGGTTTTGCATTGAAAACAAAGAAGTAAATGTAACGTATCCAAGCAGGCCAGATCAATTCAGTATTGTAATGCTGACTGATTTGTATCTCAAACAAATGTGGCTGCACAGAGATGCAGCTTGGCTGAAATCCCTTTTCATGAGTGCAAGGAGACACATTGTCCTCTACGGGGATACAGGAACAGCCAGCATAGCCTCAGAGAGAGCTATTGCACCACAAACATGCACTGTGGAGGTTTATTTGACAATAATACACTGCTTTCTATTCATCTTGATGGCACAAGGTGTAAATGTTCCTCATTGATACCTGCAGTATTCACTGGGCTCCCTGAACGTTTCAGAATCAGCTTTATTGGCCAGGTGTGTCGGACACACGAGGAACTTGACTCTGGTACATCGGCTCTCAGTGTGTATGTACATATCCCCATGCAAGGGGCAAGTAAACAGTAAACCAGCATAAGGCTGTGTAATATAACAAAATAAGCAGTATTAACAGTAACATTGACAGCAACAAACAATGCAGAATAAGCAGTATAAACAGACAGTAAACAATGCAGACAAACAAAGGAATGTTCACTGAAATGAGATAAATGGGAATAAAACCAGTACTTTAAAACAAGAGACCTGTACGAATCTGTACAATGTATATACACAGGTATTGCACTGAGGGTTATTGTCCAGTCATACTGTTGTGGGTTAAGTGTTCATCACAGTGATGGCCTGGGGGAAGAAACTGTCAGCATTTCATAATATAGCAGCATCCATGTGAAAAGAACCTACAGCAGATGAACAGCTTACTTGAAAAGTAGAACTTGCTCTCCCCATTGCATTTTAAGGAAATGATAACATTATGTAGTCTTTTGTGATGTACTTATAATGTCGCTGACAATTATATATTTTATGAAAAGCTTGGTTATTGTGTTTCTGTCTTGTTCTTACCACTCTAGGATTTCATGATGCAGCAGACTATGCTGCGGGTTAAAGACCCAGTTAAATCCTTAGATTTCTACACCAGAATCCTCGGCATGACGTGAGTATAGTGTAGACTTCAGTGAGCGCAATAGATAAATGGTTATTTGTCTGCTTGCAGCAAATCATCCCCAAATCCTGAAACTGTATTAACTGCTGTGTGTGTGTGCGTGCGCATCACTGTAGCAATTATCTATGCATAAACTGTGTTCTCTCTGGTTTGCAACGTCTTACAGGCTCCTTCAGAAGTTTGACTTCCCCTCCATGCGGTTCTCTCTCTTCTTCTTGGGCTATGAGGACAAGAAGGAGATCCCTGCAGATGTGAAGGAGAGAACAGCCTGGACTTTTTCCAGGAGAGCCACCATCGAGCTGACACAGTAAGGATTTACATCCTAGCTCTGTGGTCCTGCATGCTATGATAAGAATGTGTGAATTTTTGCTTTGATAGTTTCACTGTTGTGTTACAGTGGTGGAATATTTTGAAATAAGTGTTTTCAGTATTTTCAGCTGCAGTTAGTCATCTAAAATGTGTCAGATCTCATTCATTCAGCACTTATTAACTATCTTCTTCTCTTTATTTCTCCCCTTACCTGTTGTGTCCCTGTGCTCCTGTCTTTCAGTAACTGGGGCTCTGAGTCAGATGAGAGTCTGTCTTATCATAATGGAAACACTGATCCACGTGGTTTTGGTATGATTGCTTTGTTGTTATGCAGACAGAACCAATAAAACACATGAACCTGTTGGTTATTCCTTTTAAAAATGTTTTTACTTTGAACTGCAATGCAAAAATGTACATCTTGTCTGTTGCCTTTTGAATATGCAGTATGTACACATTTCTGTGTTTTATGTGTGTGAGGTGCGTTCTTTTTATATTGAAAAGAGAAGACTAATAAGAGGATATATATTTCAGTGTGAAATGTATTATGCATTAACGTATCAAAATTAGCATGTGCACATGGATCTTCACTGTTTAGGATAAACAGAAAAGACTGTCCTCAACTTGTCGGTATACAATATTTGTATGAAATGGTGCTACTATCTGATTGGTCAAAAATTGTTGGGGAGAAGCTGTAGTTTAGACTTAACTCTCCCGTCATTGGTCCCTCAGTCCTCGTCCGGTCTCGTCCTTGGCGGGACCTTGTCCTGAAACAGACACTTTGCACAACCCACAACGCTTCTTGTTATCTCGGCGGCCCTGAGACTGCACCTGGACTTGATTTGATTTGATTTATTCTTTCAAGCATGTAAAAACAGTTGATATGACAACACACATAATTTCACACATATCCACAAATGCATTATCAATTTGCTTATACCTAGTACATGCTTGAATGGAGTAG